CCAGGCTCCCCCCCCCCCCCCCCCCCCTCTCGCCTCGCCTTGCCACGCAGGCTCCGGCCCGGCCTGCCTCCCTGCTCACGTGGCCCCCCCGACCCTCTCGCCTTGCCACGCAGGCTACGTGCCGGCCTGCCTCCCTGCTCACGTGGCCCCCCCGACCCTCTCGCCTTGCCACGCAGGCTACGTGCCGGCCTGCCTCCCTGCTCACGTGGCCCCCCCGACCCTCTCGCCTTGCCACGCAGGCTACGTGCCGGCTCCGGCCCGGCCTGCCTCCCTGCTCACGTGGCCCCCCCGACCCTCTCGCCTTGCCACGCAGGCTACGTGCCGGCCTGCCTCCCTGCTCACGTGGCCCCCCCGACCCTCTCGCCTTGCCACGCAGGCTACGTGCCGGCCTGCCTCCCTGCTCACGTGGCCCCCCCGACCCTCTCGCCTTGCCACGCAGGCTACGTGCCGGCCTGCCTCCCTGCTCACGTGGCCCCCCCGACCCTCTCGCCTTGCCACGCAGGCTACGTGCCGGCCTGCCTCCCTGCTCACGTGGCCCCCCCGACCCTCTCGCCTTGCCACGCAGGCTACGTGCCGGCCTGCCTCCCTGCTCACGTGGCCCCCCCGACCCTCTCGCCTTGCCACGCAGGCTACGTGCCGGCCTGCCTCCCTGCTCACGTGGCCCCCCCGACCCTCTCGCCTTGCCACGCAGGCTACGTGCCGGCCTGCCTCCCTGCTCACGTGGCCCCCCCGACCCTCTCGCCTTGCCACGCAGGCTACGTGCCGGCCTGCCTCCCTGCTCACGTGGCCCCCCCGACCCTCTCGCCTTGCCACGCAGGCTACGTGCCGGCCTGCCTCCCTGCTCACGTGGCCCCCCCGACCCTCTCGCCTTGCCACGCAGGCTACGTGCCGGCCTGCCTCCCTGCTCACGTGGCCCCCCCGACCCTCTCGCCTTGCCACGCAGGCTACGTGCCGGCCTGCCTCCCTGCTCACGTGGCCCCCCCGACCCTCTCGCCTTGCCACGCAGGCTACGTGCCGGCCTGCCTCCCTGCTCACGTGGCCCCCCCGACCCTCTCGCCTTGCCACGCAGGCTACGTGCCGGCCTGCCTCCCTGCTCACGTGGCCCCCCCGACCCTCTCGCCTTGCCACGCAGGCTACGTGCCGGCCTGCCTCCCTGCTCACGTGGCCCCCCCGACCCTCTCGCCTTGCCACGCAGGCTACGTGCCGGCCTGCCTCCCTGCTCACGTGGCCCCCCCGACCCTCTCGCCTTGCCACGCAGGCTACGTGCCGGCCTGCCTCCCTGCTCACGTGGCCCCCCCGACCCTCTCGCCTTGCCACGCAGGCTACGTGCCGGCCTGCCTCCCTGCTCACGTGGCCCCCCCGACCCTCTCGCCTTGCCACGCAGGCTACGTGCCGGCCTGCCTCCCTGCTCACGTGGCCCCCCCGACCCTCTCGCCTTGCCACGCAGGCTACGTGCCGGCCTGCCTCCCTGCTCACGTGGCCCCCCCGACCCTCTCGCCTTGCCACGCAGGCTACGTGCCGGCCTGCCTCCCTGCTCACGTGGCCCCCCCGACCCTCTCGCCTTGCCACGCAGGCTACGTGCCGGCCTGCCTCCCTGCTCACGTGGCCCCCCCGACCCTCTCGCCTTGCCACGCAGGCTACGTGCCGGCCTGCCTCCCTGCTCACGTGGCCCCCCCGACCCTCTCGCCTTGCCACGCAGGCTACGTGCCGGCCTGCCTCCCTGCTCACGTGGCCCCCCCGACCCTCTCGCCTTGCCACGCAGGCTACGTGCCGGCCTGCCTCCCTGCTCACGTGGCCCCCCCGACCCTCTCGCCTTGCCACGCAGGCTACGTGCCGGCCTGCCTCCCTGCTCACGTGGCCCCCCCGACCCTCTCGCCTTGCCACGCAGGCTACGTGCCGGCCTGCCTCCCTGCTCACGTGGCCCCCCCGACCCTCTCGCCTTGCCACGCAGGCTACGTGCCGGCCTGCCTCCCTGCTCACGTGGCCCCCCCGACCCTCTCGCCTTGCCACGCAGGCTACGTGCCGGCCTGCCTCCCTGCTCACGTGGCCCCCCCGACCCTCTCGCCTTGCCACGCAGGCTACGTGCCGGCCTGCCTCCCTGCTCACGTGGCCCCCCCGACCCTCTCGCCTTGCCACGCAGGCTACGTGCCGGCCTGCCTCCCTGCTCACGTGGCCCCCCCGACCCTCTCGCCTTGCCACGCAGGCTACGTGCCGGCCTGCCTCCCTGCTCACGTGGCCCCCCCGACCCTCTCGCCTTGCCACGCAGGCTACGTGCCGGCCTGCCTCCCTGCTCACGTGGCCCCCCCGACCCTCTCGCCTTGCCACGCAGGCTACGTGCCGGCCTGCCTCCCTGCTCACGTGGCCCCCCCGACCCTCTCGCCTTGCCACGCAGGCTACGTGCCGGCCTGCCTCCCTGCTCACGTGGCCCCCCCGACCCTCTCGCCTTGCCACGCAGGCTACGTGCCGGCCTGCCTCCCTGCTCACGTGGCCCCCCCGACCCTCTCGCCTTGCCACGCAGGCTACGTGCCGGCCTGCCTCCCTGCTCACGTGGCCCCCCCGACCCTCTCGCCTTGCCACGCAGGCTACGTGCCGGCCTGCCTCCCTGCTCACGTGGCCCCCCCGACCCTCTCGCCTTGCCACGCAGGCTACGTGCCGGCCTGCCTCCCTGCTCACGTGGCCCCCCCGACCCTCTCGCCTTGCCACGCAGGCTACGTGCCGGCCTGCCTCCCTGCTCACGTGGCCCCCCCGACCCTCTCGCCTTGCCACGCAGGCTACGTGCCGGCCTGCCTCCCTGCTCACGTGGCCCCCCCGACCCTCTCGCCTTGCCACGCAGGCTACGTGCCGGCCTGCCTCCCTGCTCACGTGGCCCCCCCGACCCTCTCGCCTTGCCACGCAGGCTACGTGCCGGCCTGCCTCCCTGCTCACGTGGCCCCCCCGACCCTCTCGCCTTGCCACGCAGGCTACGTGCCGGCCTGCCTCCCTGCTCACGTGGCCCCCCCGACCCTCTCGCCTTGCCACGCAGGCTACGTGCCGGCCTGCCTCCCTGCTCACGTGGCCCCCCCGACCCTCTCGCCTTGCCACGCAGGCTACGTGCCGGCCTGCCTCCCTGCTCACGTGGCCCCCCCGACCCTCTCGCCTTGCCACGCAGGCTACGTGCCGGCCTGCCTCCCTGCTCACGTGGCCCCCCCGACCCTCTCGCCTTGCCACGCAGGCTACGTGCCGGCCTGCCTCCCTGCTCACGTGGCCCCCCCGACCCTCTCGCCTTGCCACGCAGGCTACGTGCCGGCCTGCCTCCCTGCTCACGTGGCCCCCCCGACCCTCTCGCCTTGCCACGCAGGCTACGTGCCGGCCTGCCTCCCTGCTCACGTGGCCCCCCCGACCCTCTCGCCTTGCCACGCAGGCTACGTGCCGGCCTGCCTCCCTGCTCACGTGGCCCCCCCGACCCTCTCGCCTTGCCACGCAGGCTACGTGCCGGCCTGCCTCCCTGCTCACGTGGCCCCCCCGACCCTCTCGCCTTGCCACGCAGGCTACGTGCCGGCCTGCCTCCCTGCTCACGTGGCCCCCCCGACCCTCTCGCCTTGCCACGCAGGCTACGTGCCGGCCTGCCTCCCTGCTCACGTGGCCCCCCCGACCCTCTCGCCTTGCCACGCAGGCTACGTGCCGGCCTGCCTCCCTGCTCACGTGGCCCCCCCGACCCTCTCGCCTTGCCACGCAGGCTACGTGCCGGCCTGCCTCCCTGCTCACGTGGCCCCCCCGACCCTCTCGCCTTGCCACGCAGGCTACGTGCCGGCCTGCCTCCCTGCTCACGTGGCCCCCCCGACCCTCTCGCCTTGCCACGCAGGCTACGTGCCGGCCTGCCTCCCTGCTCACGTGGCCCCCCCGACCCTCTCGCCTTGCCACGCAGGCTACGTGCCGGCCTGCCTCCCTGCTCACGTGGCCCCCCCGACCCTCTCGCCTTGCCACGCAGGCTACGTGCCGGCCTGCCTCCCTGCTCACGTGGCCCCCCCGACCCTCTCGCCTTGCCACGCAGGCTACGTGCCGGCCTGCCTCCCTGCTCACGTGGCCCCCCCGACCCTCTCGCCTTGCCACGCAGGCTACGTGCCGGCCTGCCTCCCTGCTCACGTGGCCCCCCCGACCCTCTCGCCTTGCCACGCAGGCTACGTGCCGGCCTGCCTCCCTGCTCACGTGGCCCCCCCGACCCTCTCGCCTTGCCACGCAGGCTACGTGCCGGCCTGCCTCCCTGCTCACGTGGCCCCCCCGACCCTCTCGCCTTGCCACGCAGGCTACGTGCCGGCCTGCCTCCCTGCTCACGTGGCCCCCCCGACCCTCTCGCCTTGCCACGCAGGCTACGTGCCGGCCTGCCTCCCTGCTCACGTGGCCCCCCCGACCCTCTCGCCTTGCCACGCAGGCTACGTGCCGGCCTGCCTCCCTGCTCACGTGGCCCCCCCGACCCTCTCGCCTTGCCACGCAGGCTACGTGCCGGCCTGCCTCCCTGCTCACGTGGCCCCCCCGACCCTCTCGCCTTGCCACGCAGGCTACGTGCCGGCCTGCCTCCCTGCTCACGTGGCCCCCCCGACCCTCTCGCCTTGCCACGCAGGCTACGTGCCGGCCTGCCTCCCTGCTCACGTGGCCCCCCCGACCCTCTCGCCTTGCCACGCAGGCTACGTGCCGGCCTGCCTCCCTGCTCACGTGGCCCCCCCGACCCTCTCGCCTTGCCACGCAGGCTACGTGCCGGCCTGCCTCCCTGCTCACGTGGCCCCCCCGACCCTCTCGCCTTGCCACGCAGGCTACGTGCCGGCCTGCCTCCCTGCTCACGTGGCCCCCCCGACCCTCTCGCCTTGCCACGCAGGCTACGTGCCGGCCTGCCTCCCTGCTCACGTGGCCCCCCCGACCCTCTCGCCTTGCCACGCAGGCTACGTGCCGGCCTGCCTCCCTGCTCACGTGGCCCCCCCGACCCTCTCGCCTTGCCACGCAGGCTACGTGCCGGCCTGCCTCCCTGCTCACGTGGCCCCCCCGACCCTCTCGCCTTGCCACGCAGGCTACGTGCCGGCCTGCCTCCCTGCTCACGTGGCCCCCCCGACCCTCTCGCCTTGCCACGCAGGCTACGTGCCGGCCTGCCTCCCTGCTCACGTGGCCCCCCCGACCCTCTCGCCTTGCCACGCAGGCTACGTGCCGGCCTGCCTCCCTGCTCACGTGGCCCCCCCGACCCTCTCGCCTTGCCACGCAGGCTACGTGCCGGCCTGCCTCCCTGCTCACGTGGCCCCCCCGACCCTCTCGCCTTGCCACGCAGGCTACGTGCCGGCCTGCCTCCCTGCTCACGTGGCCCCCCCGACCCTCTCGCCTTGCCACGCAGGCTACGTGCCGGCCTGCCTCCCTGCTCACGTGGCCCCCCCGACCCTCTCGCCTTGCCACGCAGGCTACGTGCCGGCCTGCCTCCCTGCTCACGTGGCCCCCCCGACCCTCTCGCCTTGCCACGCAGGCTACGTGCCGGCCTGCCTCCCTGCTCACGTGGCCCCCCCGACCCTCTCGCCTTGCCACGCAGGCTACGTGCCGGCCTGCCTCCCTGCTCACGTGGCCCCCCCGACCCTCTCGCCTTGCCACGCAGGCTACGTGCCGGCCTGCCTCCCTGCTCACGTGGCCCCCCCGACCCTCTCGCCTTGCCACGCAGGCTACGTGCCGGCCTGCCTCCCTGCTCACGTGGCCCCCCCGACCCTCTCGCATGCTCCTGTGTTCACCTCCTGGATTCAGTGCTGGAGGCACCTCAGTGCTCAGGTGAGGGCGGCAGCGGGCGGATTTCCGGGGCTTCCTTGGCAGTGTGGGATGGTCTCTGTTCACATGCAGGCTCTCAAGGACTCCTGGCCTGCCTAGAAGCCTGACACGAGGTCCCATCAGCCTGATGTGCAGCTCTTTCCATCGCTGGCATCCCTCTCTGAGGGCGACGTGGCTCCTGCGCCATCTCTCCCGCATCTAGCTTCACCAGAGCTGTCTGAGACAGGGCAGGGCTACCCAGTGCGAGGAGCAGGGAATCGCCCCCTGGTCTCTTCCGTCCGAGGCTGTGGTCTGCACCCCTGGGTTCTCCTCCTCCCATCCTGTGTCACCTAGAGGAGGGTGCCACTTGTGCACGGAGTTCTGGAAATTGTGTCCTTGTGTTACGTCCCCACCTGGCCTTGTGGGCTGGGCTGGGTGACTCAGTCTGGGGGGAGACTTCCATGGAACGTGCGTTCGTCCAGGAAAAAATCCAGGGCATTTAGAATGGTCGGTGAGCACCCTGCTAGACCCCAGCGATGCTTACGTTCAGCCTAGACAAGCTTCTCGTTCCTGCTGTGTAGCACCCGGTGGGGGGGACATGCTTAAACACAAGGAATGGAAGTGGGCAGGCTGGGCGTGCCGAGGCTGAAGGCGTTCGGGCTGTCCCCATGCTACAGAGTTTTAACAGAAAAACAGCTGTGTTTCCGACACAACTTGAGGAACATCCACACTGCGATTGTGTTCTTCCACAAGTACCTCGAAAGAGCAGAGGGGTTTTGCAGCATCGGTAACCCTCTTTCTGTGAGGAAGAAGCCTTTTCCGAAAGAGCTCTTGCCGAAGGGCGTGTGTGGGTGGGGAAGAGGGGGTTCTTTCGCAAGAGGAGGAAAACGGAAAAGCACAGGTGCCCGGGTGGCCACTCCTCCCATAGCAATCACAGCTGACAGGCGAGAGCGCCTCCATTCAACGTGGACGCTCTGTTGGAAAAGCAGATGGCTTTTTCAATGCGCATTGGCCGTGTGGACGCTGTCAGAAGATCTCTTCCGGAAAACGCTTCTTCCGAAGGAAGCCTGCAGTCTAGACAGCCTGGGCGAGCGGGAGCACTGATGTTCTAAGTTAGGGCTGCGTGGACTGCATTGGTAACTTCCGAGGAGCGTGAGGGCTGCGTGGACTGCATTGGTAACTTCCCGTGAGTGTGAGGGCTGTGTGGACTGCATTGGTAACTTCCGAGGAGCGTGAGGGCTGTGCCCAGTCTGCATAGCTACGGGAAGGAGCAGACGCTTGTACCCATCCATGTTGGTGGTTTCTTCTGTTGCCTTTTGGCCGAAGTTGCTGGAGCTCACTAGTCCCTGAAAAGACGATGTTTGTCGGGTCGCTCCGTGGGTCCCATGCGCCGAGATCCTGCGCTGGGCAGGGGAGTATCTGCTTCCGTCCCCTAACTCCTGCTCTTCTCTCTCCTAGGGGCAGCTGTTCCGGGGCTCCAGCCTGCTTTTCCGCAGAGTGTCTGCCACAGCAAGTTTCCCTGTTGACTAATTCTGCTTGTACTTTATTAACTCGTTACCTCGGCTGGGAGAGAGGGGACACATGGCTCTACAGGGCCTCCGCTGAGGGTTTTTCTTTTGAATCTGAAGACCAAAGTGCAGGGACAAGCTGCCTCCTGTCCAGCGAAGCCGGAAATGAACCCACCTGTGGCGAGCTGGGTTGGAGCCCATTGCTAGTGGTTGGTTTGGCTGAGGTGCACCAGTTGGCTCCTCCGGCTCAGCCTGCAGGGCTTGAGTCAGAAGGGACAGTCTGTGCTGTAAAAGTGGCCAGTGCCCAGTCTCCCAGCAGCACTGCAGCGAGAAGCTGCTTTAGGCAGCCCGTGCTTGGGAGATGAACTAGAATTTGCCCTGCCAATGGGATCACACCGTAGGTGGCCCTCCGCCCTCGTGCCGCACGGCACTACAGGAAGTGTCTGCGCTTAGCGCTCTCGCCTGCCTCCCTTTGTAACTGCCTTGCCCGGCCAGCCCACGGACACACCGCGGTGCTTGCGAGCGAGTGAGAAGCTGCTTTAGGCAGCCCGTGCTTGGGAGATGAACTAGAATTTGCCCTGCCAATGGGATCACACCGTAGGTGGCCCTCCGCCCTCGTGCCGCACGGCACTACAGGAAGTGTCTGCGCTTAGCGCTCTCGCCTGCCTCCCTTTGTAACTGCCTTGCCCGGCCAGCCCACGGACACACCGCGGTGCTTGCGAGCGAGTCGGCCGAGCCAGGAAGGCTGCATGACGCTGTGCGAGCCCTGTTCCTGGGAAGGTGCCACTCCAGACAACCCGCAACGACACTTGTCAGCCTCCCCCACCTCGGGAAGGTATCGGCACCAAGGCTGCTCTCTCCAGCTGCGTTCCGGGAGCGGAGTCCGAGATGAGCCATGAAGACACCGTGAGGTGATGGCTGGGAGCGCCTGAGGAAGTGTGGGGTTGGGGCAGAGCACTCTGGGCTCTGCACCCAGGATTTAAGAACACGGTCTGGGGTCTCCCTGCCGCTGGGTGGCACTGAGACGACCGGACCGCACTGGGCGTGCGCCTGTGCCCATTCCCTGGCAGGTCTGTTCCTGCCCTGGCTCTGAGTCCCAGGGCCGACTGAGACCACAGCACCAGACGCTGCTTGTGGCACGTCGCCAGCTGGACCGGAAATGGGCACCTTTCCGGGGTGCCTGTGAACAGCCTGTCTGATGGGTTCGGGTTGCCCCAGAGCGATGGGCTCCACGTTCAGTGCGCAGTCTTAGCTGCTGATGCGAGCACCGGACCAAACCAGAAGCAGGCGGACTTGCGCGCCGCTCAGAAGGCAGCGAATTCCGTTGAGTCGGTGCCTGGGGGGGTGTTTCAGGCCTCGCCTGATTGGGGGGGGGGGGGGGGGCTCGACGGGCGCAGAAGCTTCCGAACCAGGTTTCGTGGCATTTGGGTGCCAAGGTCAGGCAGCTTCCCCCCTCCGCACTCGTTCTGCAGAGCAACCCTTGTGTCTCCTTCCTTCAGTAGGGCCCCCGCGTCCCAAACGTTCAGCCAAGGGAGGCGTGTCCACCGCAGCATGGTGCTTTCCTGCACAGCCTACCCTGGGGCTCTGCTGATTGAGGGATTCATTCGGGGAATAGGACGACCAGCCCCCTCCACACCCAGGGCTCTGGGTCCTGCTCGGGTGCCTCGTTGGAGCAGAGGGACAGGACCTGACCACAAGCATGTTTTGTGCACGATGCAGCCGCAAGGTTTTGTAGCCTTTGGAATTTCAGCAACTTCAAGCAAGAACCTCACCTCCGCCGTTGCCCTGGGATCGGGCCTTCCCCTCATCCCGTGCCCGTGCCCAGTCCCCTGGATGTGGCTTGTGCGAGAGGCGTGAGCGCTGCCCGGTCTGCCTGTAGCTGGGAGCGTTGTTCCAGAGGGTTTTGCTGAGCTCTACAATAAAATGACGAACAATCTCCCTTGGCCTTTGGGAGTCTCGCTGTCCTACACTAGCCCCCAGCCCAAGCACAGGAGGGTCAAGCAGTGGTATTCCAGTGGGGAGTGACTCCTGGAAATTGAGCCCACCTTTCAGCCATTGAGGGGTCACTGAGTGTACGTGGCCTGCTGCCAGGGAGCGGGGTGGCATTGTGCCATAGGAGATGGGCTAGGCCGGGCACAGGTTGTGCAATGAATCCGCTGCTCACGGTGGGAAGTTGAAACGCCTTTGTGGGTCTGGGCCTGGGATCTGGAGCAGCTGAGGTTTCACTTGGGGTCAGTGCGCGCAGTCAGCTGCCAAGTGGGGATGGGAGGAGACTTGCTAGCTGTAGGAAGGTGCCCAGTTCCTCAGACAGCAGCGCAGGTGCCCTGTGACTGGGTTTGGGGAAGTGAGCAGCCAGGTTTGCAGTGTGACTCTCACCTGAAGGGTGGGGCCTTTCCTGGTGCTGCGGGCACAAGCCACATTGTGGGGATCAGCCCTGGGGGGGCTAGGCAGGGGAGAGCCAGAGTACACATGGGAGCAAGGAAGTGGAAGGCTGGTCAGGCCTGTGCCTGGCTCCTTGCAAAGGAACCCTCCAGCATGGAAAGAGGTGTCCTGTGTATTGCCCAGCCAGGTATCATGGCCTTGTACTGCTAGCGGAGGGAGGCTGAGCTCTCTCCTTAGGCAGCAATGCTAGCGGTCTATAAAACCATGACGGGTGGGGGGGAGTGAATGAGGAAGAGCTCTTTACCCTCTAACACAAGAACTAGGGGACACCCAGCAAAACTAATAGCAGGTTTAAAACAAACCAAAGGAAGCATTTCTTCGCCCAAGGCAGTCGACCTGTGGAACTCCTTGCCAGAGGATGTTGTGAAGGTCCAGACTCGAAGAGGGCTCGGAAGAGAACTAGATACCTTCATGGAAGCTCGGCCCACTAGTGGCTATTAGCCAGGATGGGTAGGAATGGCATCACTAATCTTCATTTTACTAGAAGCTGGGAATGGGCAACAGGGAGGGATCACTTGAGTCCCTGTTTTGTTCACTGCCTTGGGGGTATCTGGCACTGGCTGCTGTCAGAGGCCCCTGGGCGAGAGGGTCTGACCCAGCCTGGCTGCTCGGATGTTCTTAGAGAGATTGGCCTTAAGCAATCCCCCGGGAGGCCAGTCACCGGGGAGAGACTGGCCTAGATGCGACATCCACAGCCGGCTTGTATTGACTTAACCATGTAGTGCAGAGGGGGCCTAAAGCGCAGGCAGGGTAGTCCTGGACCTCTCGGCTTCTGTCGCTCTGGCCTGGCCTGGCCTGGGGGAGCTGAGGGACAGCTCAGCCAGCCCGGAGAGCAGGGGCCTGGTTTCTGTCTGGGTTGGGAAGCCAGTTTGGGACGAAGGGGAGCACTGTATATCCCTGTGCTCGTGCTGGAGGAAAAGCACCAAGCCCGGGGGTTCCTGCGAGTCGGCCCAGGGCCCCGGTGAGCTGTCCCCAGTCCCAGAGTTCTTGCGCGGAGGGACCAGCTTTGGCAGTGTTTAGGACTTTGACCTGGGTGATAAGGAGCCAGCCCTTCTGTCATCTCTGAAAGGCGGGCCAGGGCTCCCCGCTGCCACGCTGGGGTGGGCAGGAGCCATGGCAGCCGATGCAGAGTTCATTGGGCAGCGTGTTTCTCTGCCCCTGGGAGCTCTAGGCAGGTGGCAGGCTGCCCCGGAGATGGGTGAAGAGCTTGTCAGTGAGACATTGGCTCTCTGGCCAAAAGGGGAGGGGGAAATGACGAGCGTGGAACTGAGCTACGGCTCTCCCCCCGCACGCACAGCCCTCAAGCGCTCCGGCTGCTGCAGCCTTTTGTGAAGGCCGCTCCTGTCGATCCAGACGCGTTGGGCAGTTCCCCTCCCCACCCTCGCGCTCTCCGGCGAGGTTCTTCCTTCCAAGCTGCCTGTTCTTTGATACACCAAAGCGCTTCTTGTCACGCTGCCAAAGGAGGCTGGGTGGAGTGTCACATGGCTCAAACTTTTACAAGCTGAGCGAGCGCTCTGAGCCGGAGAGCGAGAGCGAGACAGACCCGCGGAGAGCGGCTCCCGCGCTGGCTTTTGCAAGGAGGGAAGGAGATGGGCTTTGCTCTTGTTTCCAGAGGCGAGGAAGGAGGAAGGTGTTAACGCAAGGAGGCAGCGCGTTTCCCCAGCCCAGTTGACGATCCACCTCTGGGAAACTTGGCGGAGGAAAAGGGGGGGGGATGACGTCACCGCAGCCGGGGGTGCCTGCCGCACTGCCTGTTAGATCCAAATGAAAAGAACAGGGCAATAAAACAATGGCTGCCTCTGTCTCCCTCGTTACACACGGCGCTAATTGGATGTTAATTTCTCCTTGCTCTTCTCGCTGTTGGATGTGAGAACTCCCTCTCCCGCTGGCAGCCTCCCGAGAGCCTGTACTGTAAACTCCCTCCCGCTTGGGGGCTGGGACACTGCAGGCGCTGGGAATATTAAAAACGCCGAGGAGGGGTGAGCGGCTGGGAGGAGGCTCGTGATCAGGGAGTTGCACTAATCTCAGCCTTGCCTTCTGATTGTCCTGGGCAGAGCCGCGGCCGTAATATTTTCTTCCCGTTCCCCTCGTCTTTGGACCAGTCTGCCAAGCATAAAAAATACCCCCAACACCCCCCCCCCACTCCAACTCACCCAACCAACCCCGGTGTCAAAACAGGCGTTCGGGGGAGCCAGCTGCTTTCTCCGTGCTGCCCAGGTCACCCTGGGGGGGATTGTGCGTTTCTTGGCTGGTACTCTGAAGGGCACGGAAGGTGCTTGGTTGCTAGAGTGCCCCACGCCAGTGCCGCCGGGGGGGAGGTAAGTTCAGGAAGGAGAGGGCTTTGCCAAGGAATAGGGTGGGTGGAGGAGGGGAGGGAAAGACGCGGGAGGCGGCGGGGGGGGGGGGGGTGGTGGGAGATGTGGGAGTAAAGTCCTACCTGGGATCGATGCCAACTTCCTGCACAGGGTTGCAGACCCGAGGCTGCGGGAGCCCACCAGAGGCGACGCGCTCCCTTGTCACAGTTCCAAGGCGAGATGAAGGCAGCGGGAACAGGTACAGCAGACGCCGAGCGGCCTCGTTCACCAGGGTGCTGCTGGGTCGGGGGTGGTTTGTTTAAATCCTTCCTGTGCTTGTTTGTTTGACTTCCCGGCAGGGCGAGCTCTGCCTCCAGCCTGCGCCCGGGGCCGGGGCCGGCCGGGAGTGGCGGGGCCAGGGAGCTCTCCTCCTCACCCCTCTGGATTAACATGCTGAAGATGCGCCTGTCCCTTTGCCTGCCGCCCGCGCCTCTTCAGGGCTGGGGACGGCTTTGTTCGCGCTGCCTGGGGAGCCGTGCCAGCTCCCCGCCTTGGCAGCCAAGCCAGAGTGGGCAGGGTGAATGCGAGCGAGGAAGGGAGAGAATTACTGCCGAGGCTTCCCAAGTGGCTGTAGGCCTCTCCGAGCATGGCCATTCTCCCCGTTCCCCTCGCTCGCTCTCCTTCGCAGGCTGGTGCAGACAAAACGAAAACGTTTTGTTCTAGATTTTTGGCATCGCCCCAGCTGCGTTACCAGCCTCAGCTGCCCCCTTCCCTACCCCACTATTT